TTACATACAAAGATGCTGATCATAAAATGTCACCAAATTTTATGCCAAACATCAAATTCGAATTATCCAAGTTACAACAGAAAAATGGATAAGTATTGGGGATGGAGGATCATGTTCGTCGATTGCAGAACAAATTACAACTGTTGAGCCCAAAGACAAATAGAAGGTTATCCATGTCAAACCCTCAGTAGAAGAGAAGAAAAAGTTTCATGAGAGAAAAATGGAAAGACGCAGGGAATGAGACAAGAAGACTTATGATATTGAAGATACTGAGTTATGTTTTGTTTCCTGTTCCCTAAGGATGTTCTCGGTTGGCTTTCTTTGCGACCCGATGCGTGTTGCAATCGTGGGAAGCGCCTTCCCATGGCCAGGTGAGAGTGCCTCATGTGCGTTTATGCGCTCACATCTTTCATGCATGTCCCGTTGTCACTGTAGATGCAGGTTTGCTTACAAAGGACTCTTGCTACTGCTCTCATACGGGATAACAAGCTCATTATAAAGAATGGCATTCTGCCTCCGTTGTTGTTTTTTTGTATACGTGCACCCTCTGTTCTGAGGGGCTTTGGTTTATCGGCAAAGATTTGCTCTGGAGGCCAACCTGTTATTTTGCTGGGCCTTGCCTAGTTTTGAATTTAGGTTAGGCATGCGCCTTTGCCTGTAAGCCAACATTTTCTCGTCGTGTGCTTGTCACTCTGTATTCTTGTTGAGTGTTCCTTGGATCAACGTGAGTTCCCTTTTATGGGAGAGTTGTTACAAGTCGACTGAACACATCTCACTGTCGTTTCCTGGTTTCATGGGTTGGCACTTGTGCCATAGAAAATTTCCTTTGTGGGTATTCTCTTTTTTGGCGACCTTTGTTTTGACACGATTGGGTTTCTTGCGTTGCTCCTTGTTTGGCGTCATGCTCAATTGTCGGCTTGGTCGCTACTACCGTTGCTGACCCATCGCTCGTGCTGAATTTTAGAACACCATGGAGTGTAGATGGGATTGCTTGCAGCTGGAAAAGCGCAGGTCAGCCTAAGAGAATGTGGTGCTCTGTCTGGCGATCGACAACTGAGTATTCGAGCACCCTAGTTATCTCCTTTGCTCCGACATGACTAGTCAATGTGAACGGGAGTCTGACTATTCCCATTGGCAAAATGCGATGACCAGCAAAGCCAATAAGTGGGCCGTTGTGCGGTGGTTGGAGGTACTCTTTCCATTTGATTGGCAGTTGATGAAGGTAATTCTCATAGATCACATTGACTCTACTTCCGTTGTGGATGTAATTTTTTTCTAGTGAACCTATTATTACTTCACTCCCTAAGCAAGAAAGAATCATACCACTCGAGGTTTCTATTTCTGAGTCCAATATGGAGGAGGGTAGGACTTCAAAAATACGTGAGCACTTATCTAATAAATACTCAAATGTTAACATGGGTGATAGGAGTTCAACATTAAAAATTGATACTACAATTGTTCCACCACCACCACCTTCGTCACCACCACAAACTTCAATGATTCCACCTACTTTAGTTCCAGGTGTGTCACCAACATTCAAGGGGTGATTAATGAGCTAATTACTAATTTGATCACAATGCACAGAATCAGAGGTACAGATAAATGAAGAAGAGCATGATGATGAATTTGTTGGATATGCAGACTTAGAGTTCAATCCAGAAGAGAAAAATATTGATGAAAATGCTATTATGTCTCGTAAACAATTTAAGATCATCAAATCTAAGCTAAATTCCATTTTTTCTAGATCCTTAATGACAGTGATAGAAAATCATATGTTTGTGGTGAGGAGTTTGAATTTTGGCTTAAATGTCAAGAGTCTTGCATAAGAACTTTGTTTGATAATATTTTAAGGGCATTGATGAACATTTCGCTATCCAATCCTCAACTTTCAATGATGAAAATTTGAATTTATTGGATGTTGCTCGTGAGTGACATGAGCGATTTGAAAAGATGGTGACAAATTTTAAAGAATCATTCGAGTTAAAGATCAAGGTGTTTCGTGATCTATTTTCTAATGAAGTGTAGAAGATTTATAAATTTTGTGAAAATGTTAAAAATAAAGTTGATGTTTTGATTGGTGCAACATAAACCTTGATTGGCGATGTTTTTTTTCTTAAATCAAGGATTATCCTGGTTCGTTGAAAGAAAAGGAAGAAGTCGATGGGAAGGTCTTTGATAATATTGAGATGTCTTAAAATGGATTTCAAGAGAGATTTACGAAGTTTCATCTTTCAACAAAAAATTTGTTATCCCAAGGGCAACTTACTTCTATCGTTTTTTCTATAGTCTTGGTTTAAAACTGAACTGGCTGCAATTCTTGATTTAGTCCTTCGTCTCCCCACAAATTTGCCACGTTCTGTGTATGTGTCACAAGGGGGGAGAAAAGGGAGTTGGTTGATCAAAGGATTCTAGTGAAGATAAGGCATGGTAGTTAGGAAGGTGATTTACACTCATATTCCCACTTCGTTATCTATGAAGACGATGATAAAAAAATTTTCAACAACTTTTGTGCCAAACATCAAAGTCGAATAATCCAAGTTACAACAGAAAAATGGATAAGTATTGGGGAAGGAGGATCATGTTCATCGATTGCAGAACAAATTACAACTACTGAGCTCAAAGACAAATGGAAGGTTATCCATGTCAAACCCTCAATAGAAGAGAAGAAAAAGTTTCATGAGAAAGAGATGGAAAGACTCAAGCAATTAGACAATATAATGAGGCAAAGAGTGAATGATATACCAATACTTAACAAAGGTGATCCTAACAAAGTTTGGTGCTATGAAATGATTGAGAACACAACTTTCAGTGAAGAAGAGGATGTCATAGTGAAGCCTAAAAAAACTTATGATATTGAAGATACTGAGTTTAATCAATTGGACTTCCCAATTAATCATTTATTATTTCTCTTTCCTAAATTCAATCTAGCAGAGAGTTATAAAGATAAATATGAGTTCAAGAATTTGAAGATGTATTTTCATGTGGTACTTGGGAAGAATAAGGAATAAGTATGGTCCTAGGTGAAATGACTTCCCATGATATCACAATAGAAAACAGGATAGAGATCATTAGTCATCGTCCAGGAGGGGGTCCCGGGATGAAGCTCCGATGATCTAGTTAGTATGAGATCTTAGAGTGATGGTAAGTGAATACAGAAAAGAGAGAATTTCGTCCCCTACTTCGTGAGGAAGAAGGGTCCATTTATACCAGTCTCAAAGGCATGTCTCTCAATTGATTCTGTTGAGGATTCTCTCATGAGGTCCGATGTGGCGGACCCATATTGGAGGGTCCTTTGTCACATCTTTGGCCTCCTCCTCACATTGGCTGGAAGGAGATTATCCAAATGTTCACGATGATCGTGACTATCGTCTGATAAGCGAATTGGACTCTCTGATAGGTGCCACGTTTTCTAGGGTATGATTTTCTGGAGAAGGGGTTAAGGCGCGACCCTGCACCTTAACCGCCTAATCCGCACCCCTCATATTGGTGACGACCAAGACTTGGCTTTAGACTGGGTTCTGACCAGGCCAAGCCCGATGTTAGTTTGACTTCTCTGTTAAAATTTCCTGGAAGGATGCGTTAACAAGTCCCTTAGGCTTGTAGGCGTATGCGTCGGTATGACAACATCTACGTTCGAGCCTATATTTCGACACGTGTATGCCTAACATTAGTTTTATCATTTGACGGGCCATAGGCAGTGCCGTTTATGTGTCAGATTCAATGTGAGATGGTTCGTGACCCCAAGGTTTTTCTTTAAAATACCCCCTTTTCAAAGACCTTTCATCCTTACCTTCTTCACCCTCGTTGTATCTATCTAGGTATTCTGAGAATTTTTCTTTCCGTTCACTTATTTTTTCCTCGATGATGGACCGTTATGATAGAGTCCCTATTGTGGAGGAGTTCCAGTTTATGCAAGATCGCTTCGGTTTCTTACCGGAGCATGGTGTAATGATTATGGCAAAGGGAGTATCGATCTACGATCGTTCTCCAACAAAAGTTGGGGTTCCTATTCCATTGTTCGAAGCGGGGTTGCGCCTGCCGACATCGGATTTTTTCTATATGATCGTGCAGCATTAAGGCTTTACTGTCGACAATTTAACCTCGAGCGCTTTAAATAAGATTGTTGGTTTTGAACTGATCTGTCGCTCTTTGGGTCGCGTTCCCACCTTCTGGGTTTTCAGTTACTTTTTTTGTTCAACTACGAACTCCAGTGTCCGTACCCCAGCTAAGTGACGACACATTCACCAACTGATCTTTGAGCTAGATACTTCGAAGAAGAACTGGAAAAGGCAATGGATTTGGGTCGACCGGAAACTCTTAGGGCATGGGTATCTTAGGAAACTAGACTTTTCCGACCATCTCTCCAAGTTGTTTGGGGTCGATCTGACTCTCAGCAAATGGCTGGGGAGTATTATTGTTCATGGAGAAAACTGGGAAGACTTTGTTCTTGATGCGGCCAGTATGAGTGCCACCTGGAGGGCTCACAGGAAGACGACACAGATGTTCTTCATGAGATGCGGTATTAACTCATCTCCTTACCCCTCCTTTTCCTTTTTTTGGAAATAGAGTGAGCATAAGATATCTTGTTGGCTTGTGGTATATTACTTTTGGTCAGGTGCGGAGGCCGAGATTTCTTTGGAGATGGCCCTGCGTGGTCACTATCAGGGCAAGCTTTGCCATTGGGAGATTTGTCTCGTAGAGGTTCTTCCTCCTTGTGTGTCTAAAAGACATGTGTGGGAGCTTGCTGGGCTGCTCTTGGTAGATAGGGAAATATGGGCTCCAACGGGCCATCATTAATTTCTCAGCCGACCGTTATGGCTGTTTCCTTATTTCATTCGCCAGTTGTTGTTGCTTCTGGTTTTCCTGTAGGTGTGTAAGCAGGAAGAAGTAATGCGCCTACTCCGAAAAGGTGCATCTTTCGTGTGGTGTCTTCGTCTGATGAAAATACATAATCCGATGATGCGGGTCTTCATCCTCATAAAGCTCGTAGGGTTCTGTCAATGGCCAAGCTTCTTGGTGGTATTGGGGATATTCTTGGCGGTCAATTTTCTGTACAAGAGAAGAGAGAGGTGGTGGTGGTGCCCAGTTCTCTTGGGGCCTCACCTTCTCGATCCGCTGGTTCACCCTTGGTTAATCCTGGTTACAGCTTTGTATTTGGGAGTGCGCCGACTTTGCCTCAGAGTTTTCTTTAACATGCGAAGCCTTCCCTGAATAACGAAACAGGGAATTTATCTCACTCCCCGTCTTTTGAGGCCTATGCTCCGGATGGTTGATTACTAGGAATTCTTTGCTTTCGGAAGACACTACTGCCCAAGAGTGGAGTAGGTGTGTATGTCCTCCGGTCACGATGAGTTCACTTGTGGGTAAACCAAGTGCTTGCATGGCTGATGACCTTTGTTACACGACAGCCCATACCTCTGTCCTTATGGTTGTTGCCGCTGAACGAGTTCGCCTAGCCGGTGCGAGTCAGGGGCAATTGAAAGTACTATAGGGTTCCTTGGCAAGCATGAAGGAGGAGGTTCGTAATTCTGAGGCGGAGCATCACGTTCTTGTTGAGCATAAAAACATCGTGTCCTATGAGAAAGCTACTTTAGAGGATCAAATGGCTACTTAGGAGGACCGATCAGAGCAATTTGAGGACCAAGTGAGTTCTCTTACTTGAGAGAAGGATGTGCTAGCGAGTAGAATAGCAAGGTGCCAACGTCAATTAGCTCGATCCCATGTTGAAGGTGCTGTTACTCGAGGTGGTTTGCAATGGGTGTTGTAGAAGGAGGTGGTTCATGTGATTGACAAGGTCATCAATAGCGTTGAGTTCGCCAAAGGGGTCTAGGATGTTCGTGAGGCTTGTGAAGCCCTTGGGTTTCAGAAGGGAAGGAAATTGGGTGGCTGCTCCACATCTTCCTATAAATCAGAAGTTTCGGGTCCTGGCCAAGTGGCTAGCAGGGCCAAGGACATAAACACTCCCCTTACATCTTTTTCTGAGATGGATTTTGATGGCCTATTCCATTTAGGAGAGTTAGATTATGATGGATTCTGTCAGTTTTGTGGCAAGCTGAGCCCAAGAGGTTTTTCCTTGGACTTCGTGGGCTGACTTGTATATGCCCTTTGTTGTTCATCTTTCTATGTACTATGTGTATAGTGTAAAACATTGGTTACTAATAACCATGGTCTTTATATATATATATATATATATATATATATATATATATATATATATATATATATGTACATGTTTTTAGCTATAATTCAGTTTTTGCACATTCCCTTATTCTAAGGTTTGCGTTAATTTGGTAACTTTGTGCTTCAGATGTCGCATAGCCGCTACTACTGAGATATGTTCCTTTGACTTCTATGTTTAATTAGGCTTATGATATGAAGCCGTGAAATAATAGTCAATGTTGTTGAATATGTTGTATGGTGTAGGTACCAATATATATGCTGAGATCGTCATCTCACGGCCTTTACTGTTCAAATTTTAGGGGAGAAAGGTTATGAACCTTTTACGACCCATCGTTTGTTCCATTTACATAGTCTCATCTCTTAGATGTTATTTGGCATATTTTAAGTAAATATTATAACTCTTTTAAGACCTATGGATGCATTCTTGCATTGATTTTGCCCAAGTAGCATAGGCGATCAGCTGTTTTTCAAGATGAAAATTAGATTATTTTTGAAAGGAAAAAAAGAAATACATGAGACAATAGACCCTGAATGTCTAAGTGTCAAGGCATGTGCCTAGTCTTTGCTTTGGCAACTGAAGTATGGCTATCTTGTGTGGAGTTAGGCCATACTTCTTGTTTGGCAGTGACGTCTTTCTACGACTGATGTAGGTTAGCCTTTTATAGGTTGGAGCTTCCACTTATTTTCCCAGTGGGGCCAGGTGTGGGGGAGTTATGTTTTGTTTCCCGTTCCCTAGGGATGTTCTCGGTTGGCTTTCATTGCAACCCGATGCATGTTGCAATCGTGGGAAGCGCCTTCCCTTGTCCAGGTGAGAGTGCCTACCGTGCGTTTATGTGCTCCCATATTCCATGCATGTCCAGTTATCACTGTAGATGTTGGTTTGCTTACAGAGGACTCTTGCTGCTACTCTCCTACGAGATAACCTGCTCATTGAAAAGAACGGCATTCCGCCTCCGCTGTTGTTGTTTTGTGCACGTGCACCCTCTGTTCTGTGGGGATTTGGTTTATCGACGAAGATTTGCTCTAGATCACAACCTGTTCTTTTGTTGGGCCTTGCCTAGTTTTGAATTTAGGCTAGGCATGTGCCATTTCCTGTGAGCTAGCGTTTTCTCGCCATGCGTTTGTCACTCTGTATTCTTGTTGAGGTTTGCTTGGATCAGTGTGAGTTCCCTTCTATGGGAGAGATGTTGCGAGTCGAATGAACATATCTAACTATCATTTTCTGGTCTCGTGGGTTGGCACTTGTGCCATAGCAGATTTCCTTTGTGGGACTTCTCTTTTTTGGCAACCTTTGTTTTTACACGATTGGGTTTCTTGCCTTTCCCCTTGTTGGGTGTCGTGCCCAAGTTTTGGCTTGGTCGCTACTACCGTTGCTTACCCATCGCTCCTACTGATTTTGAGGACACAGTGGAGAGTAGATGGGATTGCTTGAAGCTGGAAAAGCGTAGGTTGGCGTAAGAGAATGTTGTGCTCTGTCGGGAGATCGACAAGTAAGTATTCGAGCACCCTTGTTATCTCCTTTGCGCCGACATGACTAGTCAATGTGAACGAGAGTCTGACTATTCCTGTTGACGAAATGCAGTGACCAGCGAAGCCAACGAGTGGGACCTTGCGCGGTGGCTAGAGGTACTTTTTCCATTTTATTGCCAGTTAACGGAGGCAATTCTCGTAGATCACATTAACTCTGCTTCCGTTGTGGATGTAAACTTGTTCTACATGGTGTTGACAAATAAGGTCGGTGATGTGCAATGGATCATTAGGGTCCTAATGTTCTGGCCTGGGGTCATTTATTAAGTATGCTATGTTGAGGATGTTTTGGTGGTATGGCCCTGCATCGGAATATCTGCTTTGGCAGTTGGTGTTGGATATAGTGTCTAAGTCCATAACTATATTTGGTATGTACTTGACCCGACCCGACATGGTCCATTTGGGTTGCACTTCACCCGAACAATTTATGGATAATATTTGAGAATAGTACAAGTTATGATTTATTAACATATTATAAGTCCCAATATATTAATATAAGATCATATTATTTAATTAGTATTGATCTATAATTAATCTAGGATTAATTTAGAGATCAAAGATATTACAAATTAAACATGGGCTTCTATATTTATATAGTGTGGGCTAATGCTTATTTGGAATGGACTAGGCTTGCGTGGGAAAGTCCATGGATACTCCATGGAGCTTTAACCCATGGATCTCATGGAAATAAAGAGACATGGGTATTAGGGTTTACATGGATGTAACCCTAATCCACCACACTATATAAAGGAGGCTTTGGTTCTTTAAATCACACTAGTTGACACTTATTGAGGTGAGGGCCGATTTCAAGATAGTAGTGACTATTCTCTCAAAGTTCCAAGTTTGTGGTGATTTGTGATTTCCATTTGAGGCATTCACACTATTGGTGCTAGGCTCTAAAACTCCAAGCAATCAACTACTACTACAAGGTAAGTATTTCTACTAGATTTATTTGATTCATGTTCCCCATGCCATGCTAGTTAGGATATGAACCTTGGAAAAATAATTATTTGCATGTATCTTAGAAAAACATAGATCCAAGGTTTATTAGGGTTGCATGTACACTTAGGAAGTGTTAGAATGCTCAAAACCCATCAGTGGTATCAAAGCCTAGGCTTGTTTGTTTGATACTTGATGCAATATAGTGGAAAAAGTCGAAAAACTTGCTGTTTGCCAGTTGAACTCACCGAGTCCATGGGGGGACTCGCCGAGTTCATGTGTATCTTCAATCTACTCGGTGAGTAGGTTTATGCACTCGACGAGTACGAGCGACAGGGTGCAGATTTTTGACTTTAGTTGCTGGAAATGGACTAGAAACATTACCCTAAACTGTTTTGGTACTTGAAAACTTGTTTTAGAAGGTGTAATGTCTTTGCTAATCCATTTACAACAACTTGTTATCAAAATTACAAAGTTTTACGTGTAATTTTTGATTCATGAAAGTGTTCATATTCATGTACTTGATCTTATGATGTTAGATGATCATAGGAATTATTTGTAAACTATGTGGTAGTTTAATTCTTGATCATAATGTGTTTTAATGGAGTCCTTAACTTGTCCTCAAGTTATGGAAAACCAAGAGTCACACTTGAATTAAAACCATTAAAAGAACACAAGAGTTAGAAAAATGAAGAGTCTTCCTTTTTATTACTCTATTTAACTCATAAGTTACAAGAAATGAAAAGTTTTGAAAGTTTACAAAACTTGCCCTCAAGTGTTGGAACAAGTAAAGTCATATTAAACTTTAGTTCCAACCCTTAGAATTTTAAAAGTTAAAATTCAACCCTTATACTTATAATATTATAAGTTAATAATATATATATATATATATATATATATATATATATATATATATATGTATGTATGTATGTATGTATGTATAAGATCAAAGTCGTCTTACCGCTAATACGCCTCATTCACGAAGCTAGTCTATAAGCTGGGTATAAGGTTGTTGCCTATAAAATGGCAACTTAATAAGTGTCCACTCTCACCCACCGCTTGCTTGACTAGTGGAGGGTCGTTAGCCGAACGGGTAAGACAAGGACTTATACATTCTCATTAAAAGTATGATTAATATTATAAAGTAACTAAATGTTTTATTAAATTCCCAATCTTAGTTACTTTAGGAAAAATGTGAATAAGGTGCTAATCCATGAAATTACACTTTACACTTTGTCTAAGTCGTTAGTGGAGCGTGTGTGGTTAACCGGTACGCTAACTTGGACTTAACAAGGTAGGTAAAGGGTGACTTAATATTTATCATAGTATCGATGGAGCGTGTGTGGTTAACCGGCACATCTATTGAGGGGTAATTTATTAAGGGTCCCAAGTAATTTGCATGGTTACTTCACACCTCGTTTTGTGATCCTCAGCATCCCAGTCACAAAACTTGGAGGGCACACTCGAGATTGAAACATGCATTTGAAAAGTTCATTGAATCTCAAAAGCATCTAGGAGTTTCTAAGAACCAAATTAAATATTTTAATATTTCAACTTTGGTGGAAATTGGTGAATCGTCATTCACCTACCTTTCAAATATGTTATTACTTAGATTATGCCATACCTCTTCTAAGTATAATATATTGTGATTGGGTCCTAGCCTTAATACTACATTTGGGTGTTTTATTAAGGACTATTCCTATTTCTAAACTAAACGTTTCTTCTTCTCAGATGTATGCAAACACTACTGCTTCTGGCTCTAATCCTAATGGATCCTTTTCTCT